AAAAATATATATTGTGTTAGAATATGATTATCTCTTTATAACTGCAGTTATTGCTATGAAGCAATATTTTATTCCATTTCATCACTGAATAAATAAAAGGTCAAAAATAAATTTTGATTTATGTTAAAAAGAATTAAACCTAAGGTTCTTATTTTGATCCATTTTTTTAACTAGTCACTATTATTTTCAAAAAGTAGATTCCAATAAGCTACTGCTTAACTAATGTCGCCTCTTTCTCTTTCTGTCTCTCTCTCTCTCTCTCTCTCTCTCTCACACACACACACACACACACACACACACACACACACACACACACTTTAGACCCAGGAGTTCAGTTGATATATAGCATTACATATATAATGCAACTGAATCTCTGGGTCTAAAATGAAGTTTCTTCATCCACAAACTCTTAAGATATTGTACTGGTTTAAAACATGTGGAGAGATCTGTTTTCTGAAAATAATTAAGGAGAGAAACCCTGACTGAGAAAGCTTGAGGGGCGTTAAACACCTTGGTGAACACTTTAAATGAATCATCTTGTAAGAATCTCACAACCCTACGGTGGGTAGGTATGATTTTTTTATCATCCATTTTTCAGATGTGAACCTAAGATTTAATGGTAGCTAAATAACTTGCCCAACGTCACACAGCCAGTAATAGGCGCAGCCAAATGTCCACTTCCAAAGTCAATCCCAAATTTCATTCTGGCATCCTCCTTATTATTTCAAGAAGTCATTTTCATTTTAAAAGTAACTACTCACAAATTGTAGCATGAAATATAGCAGATACATAAAAGTGCTTTAACCAGGCGTGTTGGAGTGAACAAAGGGAGAACTCTGAAAATGAAACTTTCTAATCTTTGGCACACAGCTAACCTCCCTCCCACACTCAACGCTTCCTGAAGAATCATTCATTTAAAGAAATGGTCTTATTAAATTAACAATCATTAAGTGACAGAGAGAATGAACAAAGACCATGGTGAATTATTTTCTTCTTTTGCATTTATGTGGCTCTTGAGGGCACCCAAAATGATACTGCTATTCTTTTAAGTAGGCACACATATTGCTTATGGTAGGTTACAATATTATCTCTCCCTAATTTAAATAAATTACACTTTTCTTCATTTTATGGCTGAAAAGAGAAGTAATAGGTAGCTCACTGCTATCCACTATAAGTATGCGGCTGTATTATTGATTCCTCCTGGAGGAACTTGCTGACTTCAATAGGTGATATAAGAATAAAAGAATTCAGCTGTTCATATTCCTTGAGGGTGGAGAGGTATATGTCTTTATCCTCCAGCCATGAAGACCCCCAAGAATTTTTCATAATACATATGGCTTCTCTATTTGAGTCATTCTTTTATATTAATCTACCTTGTAGCACTTTCCTAATGGGGCTTCAGTTTGCTGCCTCAGCAAGCTAACTGTAAAACTTAAAATCTTGTATTCTAAGATATTTTTATCTTTAAGATTTATTTTTGTTCTAATACAAAAATCATTAAATAGTACCAGGAATTGACAAAATGTCATGTTTTATCATTTAGGAGTCAGACCCAAGTGGCCTCACACTATTAAACATAAAAGTTTTAAGTCTATATTCAAAAGCCATTTCAAATGAATGAGTTCACTTAAATTTTAATCTGGGTTTTAGAATCATTAGTATTATTAGCTTTAAGGGCCTCAAGTAATCATGGAAAAAATAAGCCAATAATTATGAAGTTTTGGGGTAGTTTCCAGTCCTGGTTCTTCTGTTTGATAGCTTCGGAAAGTAATTTGTCCCTCAAAGTCTTAGTTTCTTCATTTATAAAATAACAGTAGTAGTGCCTACATTCCTATCTCACAAGGTTCTTGTGATAGTCAAATAAAATGCATGTATGTTAAACAAATTATAAATCATAGTTCTATAAAAATATAGAGTATTGGTGTTTTTTTCTGACAGCCATGTATATTTGCTTTAAGAAAAGCCAGTAGTTTTATTATGTCTGGTTAATCAGATGAGTTAGCAAACATATCTTGAACCCTAGTTAAATGATCTGCATGGTGCCAGTATCTAGAAGGGTTTTCCAGCTTCCTTGTTCTGAGTTACAGAGCCTTTGGACAGGTCCTGGGGTAACAAGAAATGTGGCCAGTAACAACATCATGCATTTACTCAAGTGTGCTTTGCAAATTCTAGTATTTTCTGTGCACACAATGATGTGAGAAATTTGGAAGCCCCTGCCAAAATGATTAAAAATCCAAAGTATATATATTCCCTGTTCCTTTGAAGGTATAATCTAGTAGAGCAGCAGAATGGATATTTAAAATGACTTAAAAATTATTACTGAGCATGATACTAAATTTAAAAAGCTGAAGTACTATTTAGATACTACTTTACTGGGAGATATTAGAATTGGTGAAATAAACTGAACATCGAGATTAGGCTTTAAGCAGGCGATGGGCATGAATTGCATAGAAAAGGAAATAACCCATGACTAGAATTGGAGGCAAGTAAGAAAAGGTATAGAAGGCCAAAAGAAGATGGCACTGATTGTATTGCTGGTTTGAATGAACCAATTTAGGCTACCATAAGAGATAAGGCTAAAAAGTTACATTGTGATTATATGAGAAATAGTTTTGAATGTTATAATGAGGAGTGTGAATCTATCAGCTTATCAGCTGTATTAAGTTTTCTATCACGGCTGTAACAAATTACCATGTGTTTGGCAGTTTAAAGCAATTCAAATTTATAATCTTAGGGTTCTAGAGGTCTGAAGTTTAAAATAGGTTGACCCAGCTGTACTCCTTCTGGAGACTCGAGGAGAGATTCCATTTTCCTGCCTTTTAAAGATTCTAGATGCCACCTTCATTTATTGGCTTCTGGCCCCTTCCTTGCATCACTCACCCCTGCTTCTGCCATCATTTCTTGTCTTCCTCTGCTTTTGTTGTCACATTGTCTTTTCACTGGTTCTCACCTCCTGCCTCTATTTTATATGTGCTCTATGATTTTATTGGGACCACTCAGATAAACTAGAATAATCTCCTCATCCCCAAATTCACAACTTAATCCCAATGTAAAGTCTTTTTTTTTTTTACTGCCTTAATTAACATATTTACAGGGTACAGGGATTAGGATGTATAAATGTTTTCTGGGGAGGGAGGGACATTATTCGGCCTACATCAGCATAGTTAATATGTAGTTGTTACAGATTCTTGAAAGGCAAGTGAGATGATTTCCTTATGTATGACATTTTATTTCCTTATAGCAGTGTGTGTGTGTATGTGTAACCACTCATATTCATATGCTAAAGCCTAGGCAACATTGTCTTCAAAAAAATTATTTTATATTTGACCAGATATACTGTAAACTATGTGCATACATGATTTTATCATTTTTTAGTCTCTATTTTATCCCTATCACCTACCAAAATGTCAGGTACATAATAGATTCATAGTAATCCAATGAAGTAATATTGGGCAAGTAATTAGCCTCTCCATGCAAGAAAAATGGTACTTAATCACTAAGTAGAATAAGTCCATTTTCTCATATAATTTAACTGAATTATTTCAGGAAATAAAAACCTGTATAGACAGCAAAGATGGTGAATAGATGGTCATGACAGTTGCAGCTCACCGTCATTCCCTCTGTTTTATGCCTTATTAGTAACAATCTGATTTTATTCTCAATTTACTTGCTAGCTTCGCCAGCCTAAACATAAGCTCCTTGAATTAGCACTGCTCCTTCTTCTTCTTCCTCCTCCTCCTTCTCTCTTTTTTCCATCTCCAGTGCCTGATGTGATTACTGGTTCATAGTTGATTGTTTATAAGCTTTCCTATTGATAATTTACAGTGATTTGTAAAATATAGTGGAGAAAATTACACTTATATTAGAAAAAATATAAAAATGAACTTAACTGAGTAGTACATGTATCTTAAAAAAAACCCTAATAGAGTATGAAAGATGTTTCAAAAAATGGGATTCTAGTTTGAAATAAATTAACATACCAATTTAAGGCATTTCCAAGTAAATTTTCAAAAGGACAATTTTTATAATTTGACAAGATGATTAAAAAGTTTATCTGAAAAGATGCAATGTAAGAAGAACCAATTCTTCTTCTGAAACTTAAGGTGGCTATTTGAACTACTAAATATTAATAAGTAGTATAATCATATTAAAACAGTGTGTTTCTGGTACTAGAGGTACAGATGGGACATAATGGACATTCCTGAAATGGTTGTGTGTGTTCTTATGTTATAAATATCATTTCAAATTATTATAGAAAGGCTAGATCATTCAGAAAACAGTCTGACCACTGGATAATGATACAAGACAAAAAATTAGTTCCCTGCCTCTAACTATACAAAAAAAAATGCAGAGTATTATACCTTGGAAATTAAAATACACAAACTAGTGAATAATAAAGTAACACTAGTGAGGAAAGCTTTTATAAGCAGGTCATATTTACAGAAAAACACACTATGAAAGACTAATTTATTGTATCACAAAATGGGAAATCACACAAAGGATTAGCCCAGGAGTATGTTTAGTTCATACATCTTAGCTTTTCCAGATCATTAAAAAGGATTCTATAATTGTCATACAAATTTCCCTCCTACACACCTTTCTTTTTTAGAGAAGTTGCATATTTCTTATAGAGATAATGTATGTAATAAAATTGAGAGAGAGAGACAGAAAGAGAAAGAGAGAAATAATGCTTGAACAGAAAAGGAGAAGGGAGGAAAGGAGGGGGAAAAGGGAAAGAAATGGAGGTGGAAAAAAAAGCTCAAACTCAATAATATGGTCTGTGAAGGAGTATATAGTTTTTGAAGGTTTGTGGGAAGACTACCTAGGGCAACTGACAAGTTTGAATTTTATTTATTGGGCAGAAGAATTAACTCCAGGGTATGGCATAGTGGGTAATAATCCATCCAGAGCAACATGCTTTAGTGCTTGGGTATAGATACCTCAGGATAAACATTATCGCAGAGTGTAAGGAAGAGAGGGAAGTATGAAAGTCATGTGTCGATTGGCGGCTGCTGGCAGTCTCGGGTCTGCAGCCACAATGGCAAGCAGAAACAACAACAAGCTGCCCAGCAACCTGCCGCAGTTACAGAATCTGATTAAGCGAGATCCGCCGGCCTACATCGAGGAGGTAGATGATAGTGCCATTTACTGAAGTTCATCCATATGACAAATACTGTTGATTACCTGCTATATGTAAGGCACAATGCTGGACCCTGGGACTATATGGTGGAGCTGTACTGATAAAAATTCTGTGCTCATTAAATGACATTCAGTTTCTACAGCAGTATAATCACTACAGATCCAATGTGGAGATTTTCAAATTGCAACCAAATAAACCCAGCAAAGAACTAGCAGAGCTGGTGATGTTTATGGCACAGAACATCCTAAATGTGTGCATCTGATTATAGGAGAGAAAGAGAGAAACTTCAGAAGAGCCTTTGCTTTGTTACAGATTAGTCACTGCTACCCAGAATATCTAAGTAATTTTCCTCAAGAGGTGAAAGATCTTCTATCCTGCAATCATACCATATTGGATCCAGATCTTCGAATGACGTTTTGCAAAGCTTTGATCTTGCTGAGAAATAAGAATCTCATCAATCCATCAAGCCTGCTAGAGCTCTTCTTTGAACTTCTACGTTGCCATGATAAGCTTCTCCGAAAGACTTTATACACACATATTGTGACTGATATCAAGAATATAAATGCAAAACACAAGAACAATAAAGTGAATGTAGTACTGCAAAATTTCATGTATACCATGTTAAGAGATAGCAATGCAACCGCAGCCAAAATGTCTTTAGATGTGATGATTGAACTCTACAGAAGGAACATCTGGAATGATGCCAAAACTGTCAATGTTATCACAACTGCATGTTTCTCTAAGGTCACCAAGATATTAGTTGCTGCTTTGACATTCTTTCTTGGGAAAGATGAAGATGAAAAACAGAACAGTGACTCTGAATCTGAGGCTAGAGTGCAGTGGTATGATCTCAGCTCACTCTAACTTCCCTCTTCCAGCCTCAAGTGATTCTTCTGCCTCTGCCTCCCAAGTTGCTGAGATTACAGGATGATGGACCAACAGCAAGAGACCTGCTAGTGCAATATGCTACAGGGAAGAAAAGTTCCAAAAACAAGAAAAAGTTGGAAAAGGCAATGAAAGTGCTCAAGAAACAAAAGAAGAAGAAAAAACCAGAGGTGTTTAACTTTTCAGCCATTCACTTGATTCATGATCCCCAAGATTTTGCAGAAAAACTACTAAAACAGCTTGAGTGCTGTAAGGAGAGGTTTGAAGTGAAGATGATGCTCATGAACCTCATCTCCAGATTGGTGGGAATTCATGAGCTCTTCCTCTTCAATTTCTATCCCTTTTTGCAAAGGTTTCTGCAGCCCCACCAAAGAGAAGTAACAAAGATCCTTCTGTTTGCTGCACAAGCCGCTCATCACCTAGTACCCCCAGAGATTATTCAGTCATTGCTTATGACTGTGGCCAACAATTTTGTTACTGACAAGAACTCTGGAGAAGTCATGACAGTAGGAATTAATGCTATAAAAGAAATAACAGCTCGATGTCCTCTGGCCATGACTGAAGAACTTCTCCAAGACCTGGCTCAGTATAAAACACACAATGATAAGAATGTCATGATGTCTGCTAGAACTTTGATTCAGCTCTTCAGAACACTGAATCCTCAGATGCTGCAGAAGAAATTCCGGGGTAAGCCTACAGAGGCCTCCATAGAAGCAAGAGTACAAGAATATGGAGAATTAGATGCTAAAGGTTACATTCCAGGAGCAGAAGTTCTGGAAGTTGAGAAAGAAGAGAATGCTGAAAATGATGAAGATGGATGGGAAAGTACCAGTCTTAGTGAGGAGGAGGATGCTGACGGTGAATGGGTTGATGTGCAACACTCTTCCGACGAAGAACAGCAAGAAATTTCCAAGAAGCTGAACAGCATGTCCATGGAGGAGCGGAAAGCCAAAGCTGCAGCCATCAGCACCAGTCGAGTTTTAACTCAGGAAGACTTCCAGAAAATCCGCATGGCCCAAATGAGAAAAGAACTTGACGCTGCCCCTGGGAAATCCCAGAAGAGGAAATATATTGAAATAGACAGTGATGAAGAGCCCAGG